GGCAAAGATCATGTTCTAACTGAACAACTAGTTTGTAAAAGCTAAGCCTAGAGAAAATCCATTTATTTTGCAGAAAGCTCCAAACGTTCACACTCACCTGGCAATGAACTGGGCCCACAGGTTCTGCTCCCTGCCACGAGCAGGTGTGAGACAGACACTGGGCCCAGACTCAGGGCTCTGCCTGCCTCCACCCAACTGAGGCACCCAGAGCCAGGGGCTGGGGGTCATCAAAGCCTGACAAGCAACCCCAACAACCCAACCCTCCTATCCTATGTTTGGCATTTGCTTTCCAGTACAGCCAATTGTCAGTTTGGATCAGACATCCAGGCACAGTGCCCCACGGGCCGAGGGGCAGCAAACCCCAACCACAGATGGATTCTCTGAGCCTCGTTCGAGCTGAGATTCTGCTGATGAACATCCTGGGCTGGAAAGAATGTCACACTCGGGTTTAATAGAGCCCAAGGGGCTCTAGGAAGGGTGGAATGAGGTGCCGTGGTTCAATCCAGCCGCACCAGCCTGAGCGTTAAACCCTTTGAACAAAACATTTCTGCCTGGGTTTGCTCACTGCAGTGGAAGGGCAGAGCAGGCCAGGCCTTAGGCTGCTTTCCAGGCACGACCCACATCCTCAGCTAATGAAAAGCCTAACAAACACACAGTGTAATGATGGAGGTTAATGGTTGCTGCGATGGGCCAGCGAGATGCGGTGTATCCTCCAGCAGCTCTTCCCTGCCAATCCACCCCTGACAACACCCCACACCCCAACCCCCTGCACACACACATGGTGAGATTTCCAAGAGCCACTCCAATATTCCAGGTGCAGAGGAGCAGTTTGCAGAAGGTAAACAGAGCAGAGATGAAATCACCTGCTGGCAGTGGAGCTGCATGGAAAGAAGGCTCCGAGGTGAAAGGAGCCGACCGGAGAGGGATCGGTGATTTATCACCACGAACCACACCTTGTGCTCTCCAGATTTTGTTTAAAGAAGGGAAATGAAAGCTCTGCTAGCATGAAAGAGAGAGCCAGGATCACCTCTGACGTGTGAGCCAACTGTAATTAACCCTGGGATCTGGGAAATGCCACTGGCTACTAGGCAACCTCTCTCGTTTCCAACCCGTGCTGACTCCAAACCAGCGAAGGTTTGAGCACAGCTATTGTTCCTGTGCTCCCTGGGAATGAGAGGGAAGAGTGATGATCCTGCTGTGAGGATCTGCACACTCACACTCTGTTGGGAATTATTCTTTGATAACTGCTAAGATTTTGAGCTGCCAACACATGCTAAAGGAGCAGGTCAGTGTCCTCCTGATCCCGTCCTGGCTCAGGGACAGGCAGGAGGCTCCTCTGGGAATGCTGAACTGGCCTGCAATCAATAGGTCAGGGCAAGGGGAGGCAGAACAATACTTAAATTATTCACAAACTAAGATTCAAGATTCTCCACATGAGTTCAGGCAGACACGAAACCTGTGCAGAGGTGAGGGCTGAGGTGAGATGTAATGGGATAATTCTGTACCTTTGATTTGTTTGGATAGTTCCAAAAGGATTACTCTGGTGAATAAACTTCCCTAAGAGCATTATAGCCCAGGAAAAACACTGTGTTCAGAGCCAAAGTGTTTACAGCTCAAGCAATTCTAAAACAATTGAGTGGGAAGTATGAAAAATACCAATGTGGAACTGTCCATTATCCCAGCGAAACTCAATTTCACTGGGATAAAACCCAACGTTTTGCTGTGCCATGAGCTGCACTTCAGAGAATGATTTGCCACAGGGTGGAGGTTTCTGAAGAGAGGAAGTAAAATCCTCACCTTTGCCAGAGCTGAGGCAAAGGAAAGGATTCTCTGAGCTCTTGGCACATTTGCTGCATAATGAGGAGGAGTTTTACCCCCGACAGGTCCCGGAGCAAGTGGTCACCAGACTAATGAGCAAAGCAGCAGTTCACATGTGAACAGCACTTCTTGCCTGACCCCAGAGAACTCTCTGGGCTGCATCTGTGTTATTGCACAGAGATTGTTTCATTAAGCAGTGCTAAGAGCTGATCCTCCAACAGCTTTTCCCTCAAAGAGCACAGATACGTGTCAGAGACCCAACAGCTCTGGTTACAATGCTGCAGCTTCAGCCTCTGGTGGAACAAAAGCTTTGTTTTGCTGGTATGAACACTAAATAGTTAAAAATATGCATGTCTATTGGTTATATTTTTTGCAAAGCAAGAAATTATTAAGTGGGGGGTCAAAGTAATTGCTTCTAACTAAGCATCATGCTTGGCCAAGACAGAAGCTACAGAGCAACCCCCATTTCCTCTGGGGGACAGGAGTAAGAACAGGATCTGAACTGATGAGAAGCATCACATTTTATCCCTAAAAATGAGCAAAGACTAAATCTGTTCAAAATTCTATGAAGATTCTTTGTTTTGGGGACACAAAATGGTTTTTTTGTGAGACTAAAACCAAACCCAATTAGTATTTCTTCCAAACCAAAAGGTCTGGAATACCTACTGTTCATTTTCCATCCAATTTGAACTCCCAAAGCCAAAGTCCAACCTGTCTGATCATCCCCTGGGGGCAGCTACACCTGCAGGAGCCAAGGCACAGCATCAGCAGCCAAGGAACATCCAGAGAACACTGAAGGATGAAATACAGTTAAAACCCTGTTTTTCCCAGTGTTCTCTCATCCACACAAAAACTTGACATCCCTGATTTGAGCCAACTATAACAATTTATTTCAACTACCAAGGCTTAAGTTCTGGCTGGAGGCAATTTACAAGCTGGAGCCTTCAATGTCAACAGCTTAATCATTTAAGGAAAACTCTTGACAGCGTTAGTGGTCGTCTAAAGAAAACTGGAAAAGACAATTGAGGAAGATTGGAATAAATTTAGTGGTTTTTAACCAATGCAGGAGACACTCAGGTTTTTATATTTCAGTGGATATTAAATTCTGATGAATAAATATAACTCCTGTGTCATGTTTTGGTTGTCAGGGTGACGCAGGTGGGAGCTAGTTGTGTTCCCAGTGGAACAGCAGCACTGCTGTTACCCTGGGAACATCAGCAGCAGCCTGAGCAAGGATCCAGAGCCTGGATGGGCACAGGCAGCACTCCCTCACTGCTTCCAGTGGGTCCTCACCTGGAAAAGGTGCAGTGCAACGGGAAGAATACAGTTGTATGCACTGCTGCTGTCAGAGTCATGCCCATTTCTCAGCTGGGGAAGTCTGGAGCAGAGTAAAGAATAAGGGAATTCCTCTCATTTACTTCCCCTAAAACATAGGAATAGCTAAAGTGGAAACCATCAAGAATGCTGACTGTGAGATGAACAAAAATGGAGGAAATAAAAGAAAAAAAGGCCTCCAAACCTTGTGGAATTACAGGATTTGCTAATTATCTTTGAATTATCATAATAAACAGTGTTTTACATCAAAATCAAGGCCCCCTGAGCTCAGGGTGGGAGCTCAGTCCCACAGAGGCCTCAGGCAGCTGCTGACTCTGAGCCCTTGTGGCAAAAGCACATCCACACCCTCAGTGCCAGAGCCTTTCCCGGGATAAATCAGGGTGGATAAGCTCTTGTTTACAGAATTAACCTAAATGGGAGCAAGGGAGTGAATCTTACTGTCAAGTCTAGACACAAATGTAATGAACAGTCAGGAGCATCACTCTCCCTCCTCCAGGGGTGAGCAGCTGAACACCCTGCAGAGTTAGACCTCAGGTTTATGTTCAAGGCTTTGGTTCAAAAAGCTTTAGGGCTGGGCACAAGCTAATGCTCTCCTCCAGAATCACAGAGGGATGTTGTGGTTTTCTCCCCTTTTTCTTTTCCTTTGATTTTGTTCTGAAGTCTCTCAAGCTCAGTGTAAAGCAGAAAAGCCACATCCTGCTGCCTGGCTTGCTTTTTGCTCTTGTGGCAATTCCACAACATTTTAACTTTATTCCACATCTCAATTATATTTGCAGCCTTTTACCTTGTCTGCTAATTTGATGTTAATCCCAAGCTGTTAGTGGCTCAGGATTTGGAGGAATTTGAAGTGACATAATTACATGCCATAAATTTGCAGCTGTCACTCATGTTTGGAAGTGCCAGTATTTAGAAGGCAGGACTTCCCACATGGAAAAAAGGGAGCAGGGCCCTTTATGGGGCTCTGATAACTCACTTGAGATTAGCTAAATAAATACCAGAATATTGTTTAATGGGCTCCTAGATAGAAACAGTTTTCCAGTTCCAACTCACAGAAACAAGCCTGTCACACACATTTCCTCTACTCAATCCTCCCAGTCATTGCTCTTTTGAAAACTACTATTTAGGTTGATAGATAAGGTGACAGGGAGTGAGGTCAAAGCATTGGAAGAGGAGAAAGAAGCTCACCCACACACTGCTCTGCGAGAGAAAGGCACCTGCCAAGCTTAAGGGGATACTAGAACTTTAAACTTTGTATTTTTTGCAGAAAAAAAAGATATATTGCTGGTTTGCAACAAATCACACACATCCCCACGTGTTCAAAATATGCCAAGGTAATATTTATTAACACAGCAGGACTTACAGATCACAAAAGATAGTGATACAGAGGAGCTCGGAGGGCAGTACCAGAGTAAAGCATGCAGGTCAATACTTGCAGAAGAGAGATATCAAAGCAGGTCTGAAAAGGCACATTCACACAGGAAATGTTTAGTTGAAATTAGACATTAGAAAAAGCAGCAAAAAAAACCTGATTAAAATATACAGAGATTTCCAATAATGGCAAAGGAAAAGGTACTTTACAGGTCTGTCAGTGCAGCAGATGGATAACCCTTTGAGAGTGCCTCAGTGGGGACAAGGCTTTCGCTGCAAGGTTTGGCAAGAAGGACAAATTCAGTTCATCTGACATGAGGAGGTGCTAATTAAAATGTTTTCGACTTGGAGTGAAAAGTAAATTTGGTCTAAAAGAAGCAGTTGAAACTCAGAGCATGCAGCCAGTGCTCAAAGGGTTATACGGAGTCAATGCAAGAGAAACCAGGTGACATTAGTACCATGTACCTCCCACACCAAGAGTTAGAGCAAAGTTTAAAGAGACTGTATCCCCTTTGGAGAGAGCCAAACTGGCCACCTTTCCTCCCTCAGAGAGCACAGAGGAAGCAGCTCAAGGATTTCTTTCTAAGCCCCAGCAATAAGCACCTACCTGCCCATACCTGGAAGCTACCAACGAGAAATCTCCCAGCCAAGGGCCAAACACCTCTGTGTGGGCACATCACAAAGTCACATCAGTTCCCAACACCTCTGCTGTTTCTCTGGAGCTCTCAAGAGCCAGTCTCCCCTTCCCCAGCAGTGAGGTGACAAAGGGATACTGTCCCTTTTAACACTGGATGTACAGCCCGAAGGAAATTATGAGGAAGAAAAATAAATCTGCTTTAAAACTTCATGTAAACTGAAAAAGAATTTCAAAAAAAAAAAGGACTCGACCATCAGCAATTCACAGCTTGAAATGCACCAAACACACGGAAAGGAACACGTGAGCACAGAAGAGTTCGTAGCAGACTGTCCAGAGCACTTTCTGCCACGAAATCCAAACAGTTAAATGGAGCAAAGCTCTCCCTGTGGAAAAACATCTAGCTTGGCACCATAGGAGAATACAGACTTGTTTAAGAAAAATAGCTTCTAATTAATACTCAGAGTTCAAAAGTTTAGCAACAAGCACATGAAGGGCTAACCCTTGAAACAAACCCAGAAAGTCTTTCCTGCCACAAATGGCAATGATTCATTGTGGGCTGCTGTGGCAAAGGCTCACACCCTGTAAAGAGCTACATAGGTCAAACTACCACCAAAAGAGGCTAGAAAAATACTAGGAAAAAAGTGCTTTCAAACCCAAAGTAAACATTCAAGAATACACTGTAGGTGCTACGTTTTGACAGCTCACTCAACTTGGAATTCTCCCAAGCAGTAATATGAAAAGTAAATGTCTTTGCTAATAAATTATTCCTGATATTTTGTACCCTGTTAGAGAGTATCTTCCACATCAAAGTTGCCAACTTAGTTCTCTTCCCTACTTAAAAATATCATATAATGCAAAATTACAGTACTGTATATTATCTCTACCTATATCTGCAAAAAATGGAAGAAGTATTTCATGTGGAAATAACCAATTCTTGCAGTAACAGCTTTTACAGGTACAGTTTGTATGTTCCCCTGGTCAGAAAAGCCTTGGACTGCATAAAACTTGTCCTAGAACACAGTAATGGTTCCCATGTTGTTGAAGGCCACAGAACATTGAACTACAGCTTATCTCCTATGAATATATGAAAAGAAAAAGCAGGACACTTGGGAAATTTGTTGTATGATATGTGATCAGGTCGGAGATGGTCAGTTCACTCCCTCAGGAATGCTGTCCCAAAGGGAAGTTAAACCTGATCAGGATAAACTACAAGTCTCACGGTTGCAATTTAGGTCCAAGAGTTCCCAACCATGAGAGCAGCACTGACAGCTCCTTGGCACAACGATTCCAGCGAGGGATTTAATGCTAAAAGGTGTATGAAGTACTCTACCTCGGCCCTGCAAAATCCTGGCTACACAGGCTGACCCCTGTAGGAGTACACTGCTGTGGGTGATTAGTCAGCTCCTCATTAACTGCCCAATTAGTGCTCTGCCTAGCGCTGAGGGGAGAAGTCCCCGAGCCAAATGCTTTGTGGAAACCAAGAGGTGAAGTGAGACTGTGCCACCATCTTGCTGAGAGAAATGGGATGACATTGTTTGCGTTAGAACATCTTCCACTGGAGTCCCTTAAGTGCCAATAGCAAACAGGTACCAGAGTGGTGATGTCAGATCTCAAAAATAAACTGCCATGGAGTTCAAACTGTTCCATCTAGTTAGAGTCTTCTAAGACAAAGAATAAACAGTGCCCTGCTGAGGGGCTGTTGGCTAGAGGGGACACACACTGGGGAGTCTTCCACTACCGAAAGACGAGTGCATAATACTGTAATTGAGCACAGAGAACACCGAAATCTCCACCACCTGTTACCAGAGCAATCTAACCAGTTCCTCACCTGCTGCTGGTGGATGCTGGCCACTAACTGTTGGCAAATCCAAAGAGCTATCAGACATGACATGCTTAAGATCTCCTCCCACATCAGCCAGTTTCATGTCAAACTGGACAGACAGCGCGTCTTCGGAATCCTCCTTGCCCACGCTGCTGCCACCAATGGAAGGCAGATCCAGGGATTTCACCGAAGCAGAGTCTTCTTTGGCCTGCTTGAAAGCTGCCACTTTGTCCACCAGTGACTTCTCTGTGCTGCTGCATGTGGAAGAGAACTTGTTGGAGTGAAAGTCAGCAAAATCATCATCACTCTTCCCCGAGGAGAGCGCACCGTCCTTCGCCTCCTCAAAGCCCACCCCGGAGCCTTCCAGGGACAGCTGTTTGAAGATGTCATACTTGGTGGGTGTAGCAGTGGTGGCAGAACTCTGCCCACCCTTCCCTGTGCTGGCAGATGAGGCAGCCTGAGGGCCAGGACTGGTTTCCAGCTTAAGTGCATTGTATTTGTCATCTGGTTTTTGCTCGGAAAATCCGCTGCTGTTGTTGAAAGCCATAAAATCTGCAAAGTCATCTTGTCCAGTGGCTGATGCTCCGTTAGAAAATTCCCCAAAAAGGTTGAACTCTCCAAAGTCATCAGCTAAGCTTGAGCTCTTGCTGGGCACTGGCTGGGCAGTGGTGGATGGAGGTGGCGGGGGGGGAAAGGAGCCTGGTTTGGAGGTATTAAATGCAGGTGGAAAGGATGGCTGCTTGTTTTCTCCAGGAGAGGAAAAGAGATCCAAGTCTGCAAGATTCAAAGGGGTCTTGGTTTGTGTTGGCTGTTTTGGCTGAGCAGGCAGAGGAGGGAAGGGTGGAGGGAAGGGTTTGTCCTTTGTGGGTGGCTCTAATGGTGAGATACTGTCAGCGGTTTTGAAATCGGTGAAACCATCATCGGCTCCTGCAGGCTTGAACTCTGCAAGGTTATCTCCTGGGGCTGGAACAAGGAGAAAACAACAGTGAGACACTGCAGTGACAATAAACACATCATACTCACACCATGCAAGCAAGCAAATAATTTCATGCAATGTCAGAAGTTTTTATGCAAACCATTTACATGAGAGACCTCGGGACGAAGGTAGAACTGCAAACTCAACTGCCACGAACCACACACGTGTCAAGGTCAGCAATTCTCATTTTCACTCCAGCAAACACTTAATTCTGTCAAATAGCCCCAAAGTCACACTAAATTCCCTCTGCACTGAGTTAATATCAAAACACACCACGGCCAAGAGATTCAGAAGGTGATCAATACTGTCGTATTCACGAGTTCTTTTCCCCACCTCATCCTTCTTGTGTTTGCCAAGGAATTAATGTCACTTTGGATTTCACTTATACCAACAGAGTATTTGCTTTCCTACAGAAGCAATTCCTCCCTTCCTCCCTCTGGAATATTGCAGAGGGAATATTGGTGGGGCATCAGCAGAGGGCTGAGAGCAAAGCAACACTCTGGACTGGAAGGGAAGACAGGAGAGACCAGCCAGGAGTGCCTGAAGCTGACACCAGTTCTACTCAGAGGCCTGGGACAGACCTTCCCGTGACAGTGAGCACAGCCAGTCAGGAGTGCAACCCTCCAGCCCAGCTCCCTACTCACTGTAAACCTGTGCCATGGATGGATTAGAATTTCAACCTAATTAAACATTAGCTAGCAATGTTTTCATTGACTTTACATTACACACTTTGGTGTGCTAATTTTGGAAGTTGCTTCCTGTTCATACACAATGATTTTGTTGCAAAACAGTTTCTTTTGCACATGAAAATGCTGAGTTGTTTAACCCATTCACCAGCATAAACATACCTGGACCACTTGTCATTCACAAGCAATGATGCTTCCTTTAAGACAAGTGTCCAGTAAACAGATTTTGCTCTGGTTTAGAAGTACACCATTAATTCTTTAGCTACCACACAGTGTCACACTTTAAATAAGTTGAACCAAAGATTTAAAATAATATCCTTTATAATGGCAGGAAAGCACCACAACTACACCTGACCTATTCCTCCATTCTCCCTCCCCTCCAAACCAATTCACTTGGCTCAGCTCCTACTGAAATTGCTACTCATCGACCAAAACTGCAACAGCACAGCAAACTACACTTACTGGTGAATTGCAAACTGTTCCATTAGAAATGTAAGCTGGTGAAAGGGTTAAGAGAGGTCAGACCTGGACAGTGGGCCAACACAGTGACTTCTATATTTCAGAACAAGTACAGAGAGAGATCAAATGTTATTTCATTTCAAGCATTTAATCCTGAAGAGGTGCTGAGCATGAGAACCTCACAAACACCACAGGAGTTTCAGAAATGTGTGACTGCTGACTTACACCAAATCCCAACCATACCATTATGGTTTACTTTAAAATAAAACTCTGGAATCATAGAACCATAGAATCAGACAGGTTGGAAAAGACCTCCAAGATCATCCAGTCCAATCCTAACTAGTCACTAGACCATGGCACTAAGTGCCACATCCAGTCTCACCTTGAAAACCTCCAGGGATGGGGAATCCACCACCTCCCTGGGCAGCCCAGCACTGGAAACTTTGCAGCTCCTAGAGAACTGCTAAAAATGACAGTGAAAATCTGTTAAACCCACAGTGCTTACCTAAGAACTTGCTGTCTGCTGGCTGCTCCAGTTCCCGGAATGCACTGTACTTGTCCCCTCCTTCTGGAGAAAAGGAGAAAGGAGAAACATTTACAGAAAGGAATGATGAATTCATGCAGCAAATGTTATATTTATTGCTCTGATTCTCAAATATTAATATCTTAGCAATGCCAAAAAATAATCAGCATGAACTATTACAGTAAAGGGCTCACAGAGGTTGTGCATTTGTCCTTTTACCTCCAAAAGCAGCTGCACCCTCAGGAGGCTTCTCAGCTGCCATTCCTTTGAACACAGCATACTTGTCAGCTGAGGAGAGTGGCTTGGTACCTGGCACTGGCATTAGTAAGGAAGGAACACTGAAAACAAGAGAGATAAAAGCAAAGTTCCTCAATTTATCCATCAGAAATCTACATTTCCAGGTTTTACTTTACAAAGCTTCTTATTACAGCTACACAATTTGGATCACTAACTGAAGTTTGTCTCCTAACAAGTGCTTCATCCAAAACCTGATGTAAACCACCTCACCTGGGTAACTCCAGGGTGAATTCCCAGTTTATCTCATCTAATCCTGTTTCTTTAGGCCAGATGGGAATTAGCACCATGCTTGATTTTGATTTGTACCAAAACACGGTCAAAACCCTCCAGAACTTTACACCACAGGAACTCTTAGCCCAGGAGAGACAAACACACAGACACTGCCCAGGAATCACTGCTGGTTGGTGGATCCCTGTGAAAATTCTCCCTGACAGAACTAGACATAGCAAAGAGTTAAAACTGCACAGGAGTTGGACAGCTCCATGGTCTGAGCTGATCTAATGCTGATTATATTTCATTACATATGGCAAAATTAAGAGAATAAAGTGGGACAGAGGAAGGAAGGAGTAACTTGGGATTTGCCAGTGCCCCTCAGTGAGTTTAGGCAGGCACCTACTCAGCAGATGAGGATTAGTGCACAGCCACTAAGCAAGTCTTTCTGCACATAACACACTTTACTCTACACAGTAAAACTGCCACAACAACATAACACCATGTTAGCAACTGCTGGAAGATTTAGGAGACATTCTGGGAGAGCTTTGCTTGCCCTGCACACAAACCCCCTTATCAGACCTTGGCAGCTCTACACAACAACATCCTTTACATATGAATGATGCATTCTACCTCTAGTTTATGTCATTCACATTGAAAAACCTGAATGAATTTCTATGGTGTTCTTCAGCCTGGAGCAAGAATCTTTCCAGAGCCATTTAAATCTCCTTATCAGCAGCCTACAAGCAACACACAAAGCAGCACTTGCACACACGTGCTGGTGCTGGGCTGTGATGCTTGCACAGACAGACAGAGCAGTGTCAGAAAAACAGAGCTTATGGGAATATAATTAAATTTCCCAGCCCTGCAAAGCAGGCTATTAGATATGCAATCTTGGCAAATGGAATGGTTAATCAGCTGTACCCCACAGATGGCTTTTTTTTTTAAAATAAAGCTCCATAAGCAATTAGATTATAGCTCATTGTAACATTTTGTTCCAAACTGGAAGCTTTCACAGCTGAATAAAGAGAATTGCTGCAATGAAAAAGAAACACCATCGCTGAAATATTTTTTCTTCTTTTATGATCCTTTACTTCCCATTGTGGAATTTACAAACAGTTTCCTGTCAAAACTTTCTGTAACAGATTAGCTTTAGTTGCAAAATGACATGTAACACAAGATATACTTAAAACAGCATCTTCAGATCCATGTGGCATTGACTGACAGCCCTGGGAGTGTTCCAGGCCAGGCTGGATGGGGCTTGGAGTAACACAGGCTAGTGGGAGGTTTCCCTGCCCATGGCAGGAGGTGGAATGAACCACAGAATCATAGGATCAACCAGGTTGATCCTCACAGGACTTGTGCTCAAGTCCCTTCACCAGCCTCGTTGCTCTTCTCTGGACCTGCTCCAGCACTTCCTTAACTGAGGGCCCAGAATGAGATGATCTTTACAGTCTCTTCCAACCCAAACCAGTCTGGGATTCTATGACATCAGCAAAACGTGCAGTGAAAGGAAAAAAACACTGAAATTTTCTAGTCACAGTACTTGCAAAGATTAATTGTGAGCTCTCAGAGGGAGGAAACATGCTCCTTATTTTGTTATTCAAAATCTGCCTGATCTGGAATTACATCTTGGCAGTCTCCCAGAGGAAAAGCCAAGATTGTTGGAGTCTGAATGAGATTTCAATTGAGATTTATAGTCAGTTATTGAAAGTTTAAGCAGTGGCCAGAGAAACGGCAGAAATAACAAACCCTCTGCTCACCAGAGCTCTCAGGCATTTAAGAGGACAATGCTGTGCTCTTTACATGAATTTTGGGGTCCAAATTCAGGGCCTGAAGAAACACCTTGGTGTCAGCAAATATTTTCTATCAACTCCATCAAACATGGGATCCTGCTTTTGATGGCAGTGCACAGCACTGGGTGCAGAACTGTCCCAGGGTATTGCTCCTGAGCAGCTTTCTCTAAGATTTTCCCCTGGATGCACAGTATGAAGTACCTTCCAATTGCCTGTGCAGGACTCCAAAACCCTAAAAACCCACGCCCAAACCTTGTAAACCCAATTGACCTCAGCATGGTGACTGGATGCTAAAGAATGGCCAAACACCCACAGCACATCAAATGCCATGTTTGATTCAGAAAGTCTAATTGTAGTTGTAGAAACCTTCAAAAGAAACTGTCAGAGTAGAAGTCGAGTGATGGATGAAAATTACAGGCTAGAAAGGGCCCCACAAAGGAGGAAAACATGTCATTTGTTATAAGAGGTCTAACACACTGCAGGGTGGAAATCAAGGAGCTGGTACCTGCTTCGGTGCTGTGAACTGGCTGCTTTGGAGGAGCCACCTACATCCCCTTGGAAATCTGTGAAGGAGTCATCCAGTGAGCCAGACTTGGAAGCATCTTGAAACTCCTGGAAGTCATCATCTTCTGGTTTTACTACCTGAATTACAAACAACACATAAATTACTGTGCTGGTGGCTTTTCAGGTTGTCATACAGCATGAAAGCTGCTCAGACTGGTGATTAAGGGGAAAAAAAAGAAAAAGGAGCAAAGAACCTTTCAACATTAGCATCATCAACACTTCCAACTCTGCCTGCACCCACTCAGCTCACACACCAGGTGTGCAGGAAGCATGAGGAACAGGTGAAAAAGGAACTCTGCTCCTTGCACAAGCAATGTGTTATTGACCACAGCCATGTCATCCTTTAATGCAGGACGCAGATTAATAATTTAAACCAATCAATAATTCAGAATCAATACACACAGCGAAGGCACGGCAAGAAATATTTGCTGAAGGATGAACCATATTTGCAAACAGCAGAATTTAACCCCCACATGATTTAGCTTTGTAAACTGAAGGTTTTCAGAGTTCTCAGCTGCAAACTCTTTGCTTTAGCAGCTAATAGACTGTTTTGAGTTCAAACTAAAACTCCATTTCACGTGCGTTACAAATAATCCTTTCTCAATGCCATCCTGGAGAACTTTTCTAACTCTTCTAACATTACCAGGAAGGAACTGAACAAACAAAAGAACATCCTTAGTGGCACAAGTTGACATTTTCAGACCTCACGCGCAGGTTTCACCGCTGGGTTTTGCTGTCTCCTTACAGCTTGTCACTACACAGGTTTAAAGCGCCTAATCCCCTTTCCCAGGAAGGATTTCCCAGGCAGAGCTAACCTGTCCGGGCGGGTAGGAGGGCAGGAATCCCGCGGGGGCCTGTGCTGGAGCTGCAGCCTGCGGGGCCGGGATGCCAACGCCCAGAACGGGTGGTGCCATGCCCAGGGGCACAGAGCCCGGAGGGGCCGCAGGCAGCAGTGCCTGCTGGCTCACTGCCGCGGGCAGAGACACTGGGAACCCGCTCAGAGTGGGCACGGGAGCAGCAGGAAACTGGTTCAGCACGTCCGGACTCACGGCAGGGATTCCTCTCTGCAAAGACAACAAGCAGATCACCAGTTAGACAGGCGACACTGATAACGTTCTCCATTTCCAGCTCATGGTACTGAAGGCATCAAAGAGCAGGGAATGGGTCAAGCGTCCAGTAAACCTTCCAGATCCAAACATGCCATCAAGAGCCTGTGCAAACAAATCATATTCACTACAGAATCACTGAGGTTGGAAAAAGTTGTGGAATCCAACCTGTGACCCATCACCACCTTGTCATGACCAGTCGTTCCCTGGACACCTCCAGGGATGGTGACTTCACCTCCTCCCTGGACAGCCCCTTCCAATGCCTGACAGCCCTTCTGTGAGGAAATTCCTCCTGATGTCCCAGCTGAATCTACCCTGCTACAGCCTGAGTTTATACCCTTGTCCTGTAACTTGTAGCCTGGGAGAAGAGGCCAACCCCGACCTGACTACAACCTCCTTCCAGGCAGTTGTAGAGAGTGAAAAGGTCTCCCCTGAACCTCTTTTTCTCCAGGCTAAACAACCCCAATAGTTCAATACAAACTGCTGGAGTCGCACAGAGGCTGATGACACCCACAGGGTGATCAGAGGCACTGACACCAGTCCTGTTTGGGTTGCAGGGACCCATCAGTGAGTACTGTCAACAGAGCTGCACTGAACCCTGCCTGCTGCATCAGCTTTCCTTACATCGCTCCAGCAAGGCACCTCAGCTTCCATCTGCATCACTCAAGACCCTCTTGCTCAGTTTCCACATAGAAATAAACTGCTAAGAGATGACAATACACTGACAAGGAATGGAAACCCAAATTTACCACTGCACTGGTTCAGGAGAAGGTAGCAAGCCCAGCTGCTCACAGACTACGGGATACAGGAGCCACATAGTTTGGTGAGAACAGATGTGGATACAGCAGGAGAAAACCAGACAGTATGTGATATTAAAAATACCTGTATGTTAAGTGTATCTAAGAACTGACACTAAAGAAAGGAGTAACTGAAATGCAATAATAAAATTACAACCCCACTGAAGTGACAGTTTGTCCTCAGGACTTCCACAGCCACAGGTGTGGAATACCAGGCCCTGGTGCAGGCTGGTGAGTGCCCTGCCTCGGTGTGTGAGCCCAGGTGGGAGCTGCACCTGCGTCACGGCGATCATGGCCAGCACAGCGTAGAGCTCCTCCTTGGTGAGCTTGCCCGGGGTGGTGCGGTTGGCCAGAGCCCAGATCTGCCCCAGCGTCTCCCTGGGCAATCCAGATGACATCAGGATGGGGTAGAGCTTGGCTGTATCTATTCCAGCAGGAGTCAAAGTGGTTTCCAAGATTTTCTTGTACAGCTCTGTGTGAGGGAGTCAGTGTTAGACAGTGACAACTGCCCTGTGCAGAGAAATCTAATAATGCCTTCCTATTTTATCTCATACTCTCAACATTACATCAAATTAGTAACACTCAGTGCTAGGTACTGTACACTCTGGCACTGGACTGTATCACCATGTTCCATCTCAATGCATTACTGGCTGGTGTTTACAGCTATGTTTAACACAAACAGAGAAATATTTTATACAAAATATACTTAGTGCTCCATTTCAAACCAGGTTTCCTTAATGAAACTGCAGGATAATCTGTAGAAAAAGGGAGTTCTAACAGCTTTATGCATTTAAACCTCAGTGTAATCTATATTTACTACAGCATTTCGTTTTCTATTCACTGTGTTATTTGCACACAGAAGATAAACAGCCTTCAGAAATGAGCCTGCCTAATTACAAGACATGCCAAAAACCAGGCTGCCCATGAAAGCAGCATGCTCAGCAATGCAACCTCTGCTGGGATCAGCTGCTGTCGTAACAAATTCCAGATTAAACACCGACCATGCTCAAATCAAACCCTTATTTCTTCAAATGCAGATAAAGCCACCATAAATATGTAACTTGTCAAAGAGGCAGGAGTGACTTGGTGACCGAATAACACTTGGACCAACAAATGGCCACAAGCACAGGCCCATGCACACCTCACACTGCCCACCTGGCTAAATGCCACTGCCTGCTTTACCTGGGACCAAGCTGTCATTGTAGATCCAAGGAGGCATCATTTGCTGAATTGGGTCCTGGGAAGGGAACACTCCAACCCCTAAACGCATTCCATTCAGGAAGGAAAAGAAAAGCAGTTGCATTAGGATACAGAGTCAGAGTATAATGATCTTAAAAGACTAGACCATAGCTGTCAGCATCATTCAGCATTTCAGGCAAAGATTTCGGATAGGAATCACTGTGCTCAGAGGAAAAACAGATGCTGCAGGAATATGTATTTCAAAATAATAGCTAGAATGATTTGGCAGTAACAAACAGCAAGAATATAGTCATATATGTAATGAGATCAGGAGCTCCTCACGTGCCTCTCTCTCCATGTCCAGACATACAGAACCTACAGCCTCATCGTCTCACAGCTCCTCAGCAGCAGCTCTGTGCCATATCCAATTTAGCTTCCCATCAACCACAGGCTGTTAGGGCTATTTGTGGAACAAATAAATAAATTCATACCTACCATAAGAACCACAATGTTCCATCAGAACATCCTCACCAGGGAAATCCACAAACAGCCTATTACACGGAGCCTCGTGAGCTCTTATCCCACGCTCCAAGCTCACACTCACTGACCTAGTCTGCAGCTCCAGAGGACATCACTGACACCTTCACCACTACAGCTTCCATGGCATGGTCTGCCATGCTTCACTCCCTGCAAATTCCTTATTTCCTCCTCCACTGTGTGGACTCTTCCCCTGGGTCTCCCTGAGCAAGTTTTATGCTCATCTTGGACAGACAAAAATCAGAATAATTTCCGATTTCTTTGTCTTTCCCAGTGTCCTTCCACCTCTTCATCTTCCACATGGATTCCCTCCTGGCTGCAGTCTAATTTTTAATCATCCCACAACTCCAAGCACATTTTAATATAAGCAATTCCTTCCATATCACCAGTCAAGTAAAATAAATTTACTACTTCCTCAGGTCTCATTATTCTTCAGCTCTAACCTCACTTCCATACACTTCTGCATCCTACCAATTCTTGCTTCTGCCCTTGAATCTCTCTGATAAAATTCAGCCCCTTAAAAAAAATCAAATAATGGGAGAAAGGAGAAGGAATTCTCAGGCATATTTAGCTGTTAGATAGGAGAGCCTTGCTCAACACTCTGATAACACTCAGGTGACTGCAGCTCTGCCATTATTCTGCATTATCACTGAACTACTAAACTCCTGTTCCTCACAAAGTACTTCAGCTCACCCTTCAAAGCTTCCTTCACAACACTGGGAGCTGTTCTTAACTCCTGTTGCTCTACACAATCACTCCATCCCCACAAGGGATCCCACCACCTGCAGGCTGGGTTTGAACTCGCTGTCTCACGTTCTCTCCATGCACACTCACTTCTGTTCATGTCAGGCATCAGATTGTGTTGGATTCCTACAGAATGAACGATGAAACTGACTGAGCTATGAATAAATGAACAACTCCTGTTCCATGCTGTGTATTCTTTAGAGCTGACTCACATGGAGTAACTCACTGTGTATGATAAAGTCCCTTCACTTACTAAAAATGTCCATTCAGGATATTTAATTTCATCCAATAATGTTTGATAAATGTATTGGATAAGAAAACACTCAAAAGCAACATATCCAAGTGCTGAGAGAGGAACACATGAGGTTTTATTAATAAGCTACGGTGCTTCTAGGAAAGAAAGAACTGCCTGAGAAAGTGCCCCATGCAATTTTCTACTGACCAGGAGCTTTATCCCCTTCTCTGTCTCCTCTCACCCTCCACAGAGTGAGATCACACAAAGCACTACACGTGTTTTGGTCACACTTACTACAGTGGATTCCCCTCACACAACCCTTGAGCACTAATCAGGGTGCACCAGACACCTCTCATCTATTCTGACTGGAATAAACCAAAACCAGTCAACAGTTTTAATAAAATCCAAACTGGAACTCAAGTTTGGTGAGTTCATCTAGTCCAGCCTTTAAACTTTCATCCCTAATGCACTGATAGTTTTAGAGGTAATAGATATGAGCAGCAAATTGTCTGAGAAACTACACTAACCAGCTAAGAGTTTTAACCCATCGAGATTTCATCCCCTCAAGGTTAAAAGATGAAACTCCACCATGACATTGACAGTCTTCAGGAATAAGTTTCCTTCAGTACTTAAACCCCACAATCTTTAGAGGGCACATCGATTTTTTTTTGACCCAAGGAAGGAGAGGATGTTTTCCAACAGCAAACCTGATTAAACAAACATGTTAAAGGTGATTACAGCAGTAGACTCGGGTGGAGAAAGTTCAGAGCAAAATCATGGTAGTGACACTGTGAGCAAGGAGCAGGAGGCACTGGCACATTACTCAAGCAGAGCAAACTGTCCCGGGGTGGGCTCAGAATTAGTGCTCAGAGCGTTAGGGACCAAGCAGCATCTCATTAGGCTGAAATTCTGTCAAGTGTTTCAATTGCTCACCACACTCTTCCACTGCTCTGGTTTGTTCTGAAGCCTTGTGCACCTCTGCAGCAGTGGGACCACTTTCATGTCCACTTACACCAGCCCAGTCAGTGCTGGTTAAACTGGGGTGAGCTTGGCTTGCAGCCGAGGCTTTGTGCCCAGCTTCGGGTGTTTGAAGTTGGGTTTGCTCCTGTTCAGATTCATTTGAGCCATTTGCTAAGACTTTCTCCTCCAAGGAAGAGCCTGAATAAACAGCAGGAGGAATTATGGATATTTTGTTATGAACCACACTGTTCAAAGGAGAAGTATTTTGGTACCACTGATGAGTTAGAGGTGACTCTCCATCCCAGCTCAGACCAACAGCACCACCCTCCAAACACCTTCATAGCCCAACTCTGCCCTTTACTTACCACTCCCACAACAAATTCAACAAACAAAAAACAAGCAGGAGAAGGAAGACATGAAATATCTCCTATATTAAGATTACTGTTGCATGATCAGTAGAAGTGTCCAATATCTACTTACATCTCCCAAGTTCTTCAGGCTCCTCTCACCAACTTCCCTCCAGCCTCCACGGGAGAAGCACCCAAGTGCTCCACAGCAGCATTAAGTTATTTTTAACACCAACATCTCAACTGTGTCTTTTTCTACCACAGAGACTTAGGAAGATGCTAGAACACAATATTTCATTCACCTAAGATCAGCCATATGTATATTTAGCACTATCCACATGTGACTTGCTTTACAGTGCAGTTCTCAGGGAAGGGAGAAGGAGACTTAAATCATCTTTTCCCATGGATCAGCAGGTTTCTACTTAATTGCCCACATATTACTTCTTCCAGCCAGACTGCAAAAAACCCCCAACAAAATGAGTAAAGACTCTGTGCAGCTCAGAAGGTGACATGTAAAAAAAAAGATACTTTAGAGTTACCTGGTTTATGGATATTGGGTGAAGATGCAGAGGTAGGAAAATAAGGAACCTGCCCAGCTGTACCATGCAGGGTGGATAACAGTGGAGTCTGGGCTGGAGGGAGAGGTTGGACCACAGCCTGTTCTGAAAGCAGCTGCCCAGCCTCAGTGGCAGGATGGAAAGGCTGGAAAGGCTGAGAGGTGGGTTGAGGCACCAGTTTGGGCATTTCAACAGGCCCTTGGATAAAGTCACTAAATTCTTCATCATCGAGAAAAGCAGAATGGGAAACAGATACAGCAGAATGGGATGGTGTGGGATGATCTGCAAATGGAATGAACACACAATGCAAAGTGATGAGGAATGAGCTTTGTGGGTGGGAAGGTAGGAAAAGTGGCAAACACTGGGAATACACAGCAAACGGGTGAGGGGAAACAGCGTTGGATGCGTTTTGTGACAGATGTGAAGGTTCTTGTCAGCATAACAAACACAGGGTAAAACTGAGCAGCCACTTCCAACCAGGCATCTTCTCTCCCAGATTTTTAGCACGTAAACACTGTGAAACTTGGCTCTTAACACTGGTTGTGAAAGTTTTCTATGTGTTTTACACAGACAGGGTCAAAACAAACCCAGAGGTAATATTTCACACTGGACACAATGGGGTCTGCACCAGGGGACATTCTCCCTCACTGGAATGTTTTATCCACAGAAACTCAGCCATATATCATGGGATACAAAAGGAATGCCTGCTCATGTAGACCATTTCCTGCTTGATCCCTTCCAGTGTTACCCAGTTTAACAAACCTGGTGTAGGACAGGCACATTTACAGACAATGGGAAGTTGTCAGAAAGCACCTGAACTGCAACATCCACAGAGATAAAGGGTTTACATAGGGGAATCTTGTCTAGATCAGCTTTGGTTTTGGCTAGACACTGAAAAAAATGTACTTCAGCCCCTAGGAAGTCTTTAGTAGCAACTGTTACAAGGGTAATTACTGAGAGGAGAAGGCAGAGGTTTGGGGCTGACTGTGCCTAACAGCACAGCAGTCAGCTGGGACACTGCACTCAAGTCTTTACACCACATTTGGATCATTCTTAGCACTTAACTAGCACTTCTCATCTTCAAAAGCACTTCCCAAAACATTAATTAACGCTCTGACTAGAAAAGAACAAACGCTTTATCAGTTTCCTTGATGTCTCCCATGAAGCATAGCACATTAAGCTTCCTTCTAAGCATCCCAAGTCTTTTAATAAAGGCTGATAGCTAATATTTCACCCCCAGGCCCTGACCAAGCAAACACTTGCTAGAATGGCACTTGGTTTTATAAACCAGTTGATTCACTCATTTTGTATCACCAAATAAAAGTACCTCTTGGAATTGGTTCTCCCTGCTGAGGATTTCAAATGCTGGAGGTTTATTTTCAGTTGTAATATGAGGAAAATGACAAACCTGTTTTTTTGGGATGTGATGCTGGTGTTGGGTGCATTTTAGCATCTCTGGAAAAGCCATCTAAATTCCCTTTAATGGCTTCAAGGGCATCGTCTCTGCTTTTTTCACCTGTCTGAAACACCACAGAGCACAAATTCAGTGAACAGCTCAATCTTCTTTCAATACTTCTCAATATCCACACTCGTGCAGTTCCAGAATTAGCAGTGCCTGCTGCTAGATCAAACCCTTCTTGCTCCAGCACTGCCTAAGCTCATCAACAATAACTCCCAGAAGGAAGCACTTATTTTGCAGACCACACCATCAGTGTTTTTCAGTCTCTAGACAAAGCTTCAAGCACTAAAACTATATCTTAACCTTACTCAGCTCTTTGTATTTTGCAGAAAAAAAGCCTTTGGGCTCACTGCAAGTGTCCAAAACTATGGACAAAGTGAACAAACAAGCAACCAAACACTCTCCATTCTAGAGGCTCAAGCTGATCCCAAGTGCTACACACCAGGTTGGTTTGTTTTTCAAGAGCTGAGTTAATTTTCAACAGGAGACTGTGTTTACATAACACGAAGAGTGTGTAAAGGACTGACTCTTCCAGATGCTTTTCAGGATGGAATCTGGTGTCTCATGTAAGTTTCTCACAGATCTGCTTGTTGAAAGAGACCATCCCAATACAAAATCCTGAAGAAAGTAACACTTATTGTCAGGACATACCTTGGGCTTCACACTGCTCAGGAGCCTCAACTTTTGCTTCTGCTCCTCAAATTGCCTCCGTTTTCTTTCTTCTTCTAAGAATTTCTGCTGGTGCTCAAACCTCTTCCTGAAAGAAAAATGATGCAACATAAAACCTGAAAATAATCATTCATGACAATTTTTATGGCAAATTTCTGCTTGATTTCTCCATTTCTTCTGCTTCCAGTTCAGATGGTTGGTGCATATATTCCTGTGTTTAGTAGAGCTGGACAGCTACTACACACTAGACAAAGGCAATTCACACCTTAGAAGGCAACATATCCTGCAGCCCCAAATGGACACTGCTCCAGACAAAATGCAGTTACCCCTGCAAACAGAATTCCCCAGGAGTGGGTAAAGCTTCACTTACTGCTGCTCCTCTGCAAACTGTTTCTGCATGTCAGGGGTGTACTGTGGTGTGGCCGGGCGCATCCCCAGGAACGGAGCCTGTCCCATGTACGGCATTCCGGCCGCTGGCATCGGCCCCAGGGGCATCCCACCCTGCAACAGCACGAGTAAGTCAGCTCCAGGGGAGTTTTTTCAACTCTAGTAGATTTTCCCCCCCCCCACAGAAAAAGCCAAACCAGTGGCAGTTCCACCCTGCCAAGCTGTAGACTGTGCTGACCCCGTGAAATTCAGAGCAATGAGGAGAGCTGGACCAGCAGTGGCTGAGCACAAGCAGCTCCTGGGCCCTCAGTAGATGGCACTCTTCCTCTCCATAAGGAGCTACAGTCCTTCAAGGGCTTGGGAAGACAGGATGGCAGGCAAAAATCAAGGCTACAAACCCACACAAGCTACCCCAAGAGCAGGAAGGCTGCAGCCATCCTACATGGTTCAGTTCCACACTTTGGGGTTCTCTGGGGATTTCTGTTTCCTGTTCTAAGTGATGCCACAATCATTTCCCTGCTGAGGGCACACTCCTACCAACCATGGATGCTGGAAAATGTGCTTGAGTCATCTCCCAAACATAGTTTCTTCAGGGAACCAAGGCAGGGAGACAATATATGCCAACAGCCAAGACAAACCTTGTCAGAATAAACTATCAGAAACATCTGCTGGGAAATACATTCTGGGATATTTTGAGCAGCAAAGTTTGCCTAATATAGAAGGAGTCAGAAAATAATTCACTTTTCTTACCATTCCTTTTGTATTTGGTATCAGAACACATGGAGGGAGAACAAAAGCTGTTTATTATTTTAAGACCAGCTCTCAAGAACATCTTCCTGCTATAAACTTTACAAAACTAAGGCAATAGATTCCAGGTGGGAGTGGGAAGGGGTGACAAGATGCAACTTTTTGTGACATAGCAATTTGGCTACAAAGCCATGCCAGAACTTTACATTCCAGCAAGGTGCAAATCTGTACAACAAGCACATATGGTGCTAAACAGAAAACAAAGGAGTAAAAGAGATATAATAACTGCTTGTATTTCTTTCTTATTCCGCAAGTAGTAACAGCAGCACCAAAGATAAAGGTACTGTGAGGAAGAAGAAGATTGAAACAAACACAGGAATTGGATAAACAGGAAAACAGATCACATGAGGAAACACAGCACACTGAGCAGATTCCTTTTCACTAGAAGAAGGTATTTACAAAGAAAGTTTATGATTTGTCACCTACACTCAGGACATTGAGTTCTATTACCTCCAGCATTTGAGTTACAAAGGGATGAAACAGTTGAGTGCAGTGGTCCTGATCAATCAGACTGTGCACACAGTCCCTGCTCAGCAGCTGGGAAAGGTCTCAGTTAAAACACAACATGATACACCACCATAAAGTCAAAGAAAGGAAGAGAAAACAAGAGGGAAAATTAAAAAGACAGGAGAGATCCACTGTGGGAGTTCTGAGTTCTGGTTACAGAACAATTCCATGCCATTACTAACCCCACCTGGGAGTGGGTGGAATCTGGGAGCTCTGGAACACACTGCTGATGCTTTTGTTTCCCTCCCTGCTCAGACCAGGCTGCTCTGATCACACTTGGGTGTCATAACACACATAGTGAAATCAGAGTTCAGATTCTGACACCTCTGAGTGGGCTGAAACCTCCAAGTTACCTTAAATACTACTGATGCTGTCCTTGCACTACACCCTCAGCTCTCTCTACCCTACAACAGTGAGTAATGTGTGCCAAACTCCCCCACTCTCTACCCAGAGCCCAAGGAAACATGGAGAATTCTTTAAATTACCAGGAATATCTTCAGAGATTACAATATAGGATGTCCCACAACAGACTAACATCCCTGATTCAGTTTCCAACCAAGGTGCAACCTCTTACCCCCACTGCATTGGTCAGAGGACCATGGCATCAGCTGTCACCTCAGCCCAGCAACAAGGCATCTCATTTTTTTGGGAGAGGGACTTTTCACAAGGACATGTAGTGATATGACAAGGGGGAATGGCCTTAAGCTGAAGGAGGGCAGATTTAGATTGGATATTAGGAAGGAATTCCTCCCTGTGAAGTGCTGAGGCACTGGCACAGGTTTCCCAGAGAAGCTGTGGCTGCTCCATCCCTGAGAATGTTCCAGGCCAGGCTGGATGGGGCTTGGAGCAACCTGGGCTGGTGAAAGGTGTCTCTGCCTTGGTGGAACGAGATAAATTCCAAGGTCTCTTCCAACCCAAACCATTCTGTGATTCTATGATTTCAGCCCACACTTCACCTGCATGGTCATGGCTCCAGGAGGCATCTGAGATCCATAGTTCATTCCCATCATCCCTGGCATATTGGTCTGCATGACAGGAACCATAGGAAATCCTTGCTGCTGCATAGGAATCATCCCTGCAACGAACCATGAAAGCAGGTAAGTGCCCAGTTAGTGTTAAAGCCTTTTTTCCTTTTCCTGCTCTCTTGTTTTGTTTTCTAAACCAGCAGAGGAAAGAAAATCCTCCGAGTCTCTCTGGACTGGCTGCAGGCAGCCCTGGAATCTCCTCAGGTTAGACACTGGTCAGGCTGCAGGAAAACATGCCACAGGGCTTCTGCAGCAACAGAGCTGATGAATTCTCCCACCATCCTAAGGATTCTCTGTGGGTTTCTTCCCACGTGACCTGTGGAAGGGTCATTTCCAATTAACAAGGTTTAATTAAGCAGGGTGACTGGTGCTGATAATTCCCATTTCTCTTGAAAGGGAAAACTTACAGACTGGCAGGTTTTGAGGACAAATCTTGGAAAATAAAGTCACCCTTTCACAGGGCAACTTCACAACTGTGACCTGGCTGGATCATTTGGAATTTGATTACACTACATACATTAGGATGGTTAAAATATTTGTTAGTAAAAGCTAAACTTCAACAAAATTGGACAAATCAAGCTGGAATTTATTGATTCACTGAATAAAGCCAAGTGGATTTTGATTCAGTATTTTCCTATCTCCCATTTTGTTGTCTTGGGAGACACATACTAACACACATCCCTTACCAGCACACCCTGAGACAGTTATCACTGTGCACAACTGAACATCACAGGCAAAAACACTCCAGGAGGGAGTGAGACAGGCAGGAATAATCCATAAACCAGTCCCTGAGGTTTTCATAAGAAAACTCTCCATCTCCTCCTCAAGTTGTCTCTGTTTTTCCACTAATTAAACAAACAGCACAGCATCAGGAATGAGGACAAAGGTAATTTAAGGCTGAGGCTCTCCCATTGTATTAACAGTTTCCACACAGGTTGTGACTCCTGTCCCAGGGTCTTGCTGTGCTTTGTAAATATTTACCAGGTCTTGCAACACCCACACAATGTGAGTATACACAGCTGGGAGATGAAGCAGAAAGAGGTGAAATACCACACTCAAAATAACACAAAAATCTTAAAGGCAAATTGAGGTTAGAGATGGAGATGTAGTTTTCCTAGACCTTTAATCTGGTGACATTGCTCCAACCACTCACGGGAAGTTTTATCCATAGAGGGGTGAGAGCTCACCAGAGCTGAGGTCAAGGGGAAAACAGCTTGGATTGAACAGGAGTTCAGTTAACAATCACACTTCTGAGAATCACTGCGGAACTGTTTCAGGTAAAGGACCTCGTGCTCAAAATGTGAGGTGGACACTTACCTTGAGGAGGGCCTAAACCACCTGCCACAGGAAACATGAAGCTGTGGAAGGAACAAAAGAGGATGTGAAAGTGTCATTTTAGTGCAAATACAAATCACTGCAAATCCACCTCGACCTGCACCACGACCAGGAGCCTCCAACCTCCCACTCTGATCTGCTCCTGAGGCCTCCCAGGGCCCAACCACACCACAGGGAGGAAGTCACCCCTCACAGGATCTCCCGAAGCACTGCCGAGTCTCACCAGCACTGTCCCAGGCTGCAAAGCCAGGAAAACCAGATCTTACCCAGCACAGCAGCACTGAGATGGCTTTGACTCATCCCCAGCACCCACGAGAGAGTTTCGGCACCCACGCAGGTGGGAACAGGTCAGTCTGTTAGTGTAGGCTAAGCACAGAATGAATAAGCATCTCCTCTTGGAAGTGTCTGACTCAGCAAGACCATTAACTGCACCAGACAATGTTTCTCAGATGCTTAGGAATAGTTTTCTGGAGAGAAATAAACCATCCATGAAACCTCATCACTTCTGCCTGTACTCTAAGCATCACAGAATAATGGAGTTTCTGTTTTCTCAGTTACTTAATTACAGCAAAAATAGTGCCTGGAGAAAGTATTCACCCAGCTATCCAGGGTCAAGTGCACCTGGAGGAAGAACCATTAAGATTTCAGCTGAAATCCTAATGGAAATTGCTAGCCCTCACTCTCCAATAGCTGCCAGACAGCAGAAAAAGGACTTAGTTTAAAATTCTCATTTGCAAGCAACTGGCAGAAACCCACAGCAGCAGCAATTTCCCAAACAAGAACCTCACTCAGTGTCCCAGGCAGTTATTGCATCAAAGCCACCCTAGAAAAGAAACACTTATAGATATTCAATGTTCAGTTCTGAGGGTGGACGTAAAAGAAACTGAGTACAGGAGAAAATGCCATCAGAAATGGCTGCAGGGAGTTCTGAAAGCCAACCTGGTTTATAAATATAAAAGAGCTGCGTAATATGAGCACTAAGATAAAATAAGGGACTTAAATTATGCATCTATCCAGGAGCAGATTGCACCTGCCCACTACAGAGACAGCAGGTCACACGGTCACCACGACAACCCACTTCATCCTCTCACTCAGGAGCTTCTTCAGCCTGAAGCTTCTTCTTTGGCCCTGACCACTATGTGCTGGTTTCTCCTTCCACAACTAACGCACACCTGTGCTTTCCAACGGGTCCAGTCTCACCATCCTCAATCCCCAGCACTCTGGGGTTCTCTCTTTGAAGCACCTCATGTGCTGCCTCATCCCCCAACACCTGCTGGGCTCAGTTCACACTATGCCAAGGTCTGTCCAACTCCATCATTTATGCCACTTCTTGGCATACAACATCAACACAACACAAACAGCTGAAAACCACAGAGGGCCCATGACTGAACTCTGGTGCTGATCAGAAGAGATGAAGCTCAGTGAACTAACAGAACTTTGCCTGTGTTTGGTGTCACCCACGGGAAGAGGTGTCAGCACAGAGGGGTGATACACCCCTTTAAACAAGGTGAGATGTGCAGAGATTCTGTTGTGAACCAGATCTAAGCAACATAAAACACACCATTAGTTTAGTCAGAATGGTGAAGTATTAAAGCCATTTCTGAAAGGCTCGTAAGTATGGAAAAGTGTTGGAAGCTTCATGCTTTCCTTCTGGTTGGGGAATTCAGGTTTTCCCTTCTGGATGGAGAACCTGGTCAAGAATTCTCCAACTCAGCAAACCTAACGTAAGCATAGCAAAGTCCCACTGCTTGCTGGAAGCAAATAAAGGCCAAACTATTAAATATTTATCCCTTCCTACAGAGCTCCTGCTTTATTTATAAGGCTCTCTTGAAAAAAAATAAAGGAAAACAATCAACAAGAAACCCTTCAGCTAATTAGAGGGCAGTGGAAGAGGAGCTAGCTCAGCACAGCAGCTCAGCACGCCGTACGTGCCGCTCGGATCCACCACAGCCCTCGCTCCAGCCCCAGCCACACTTGCACACACACAGACCTCATCAGCTGCTTCATCCAAGCAACAGCAATTTGTTGCTGAAGCAGTTTTTGAGCATGCAAAACTGCTCCCAGCAATCAGGGGGTTCCCATGGCTAAGGGAGCCAGTGGAGGTGTGGTCCTGCCCCGGGTTGACTCGGGAGTGAGGAAGGGGAATAGATGTGATGCACAGAGATAAGAACTAGAAGGAAAACAAAGTGATTCGCCCCACAACAGAGCTCTTAAAGCAGTAATATAAACCATAAATCTCTACAAGAAATTTAAATATGGAGCTTAAAGCCCCCCAAAATATCCCAGCCCAACCAAGCAGCAGCTCCAGCAAAAACGCCGCAGCGTGGGGAGAAGCAACTCCTCTGTACTCAAACTCCACTGCAACAGCTCCAAAACACACACAGCAGTTTCCCATCCACCAGTGGGTTTTGAAACCCCTGAACTCCCAAGCAGCACAGCTCTATCGACACAACACAGCCTGTCATAGGATTTCTGAGTGTCAGAAACACACCAAAACTGAAGCGAACCAAGGCAAGGAGCCCACACAGGCACAGAGAACAGAACTGCTGCTCTACCTCCAGACTCCATCCTCAACTAAACCAAAGCACTACCACTGGGGAATGATGATTTTTAAGTTCTTTTAGTGTTCAGAACCTGTATTCCACTGACAACACTTTGTTAGTTTCCTGTTGAATTCCTGAGCAGGCAGTGTTGCTCGCAGAGTTTTAGATGGTTTAGCCCCTGCAGGAATTGCCTCAGAATTATTCCCATCCATCCACAGCAGCTGTACACACCTCAGCTTCTCTCTTCCCAAGTATTCCAGACCCCTTGGATGGCTCCTGCCAAAGCAGAGCACCAGCCTGGCTCAGGGAGGCGACAGGGATGCCCCAGAGCTGTGCCTTGCAGGTGAAGGTTGCCCCAGAGCAACATTCCCTCCTCACATTCCCACTAAAACTGACAAATCCATAGGACTCAGACATCCAAGACAACTCAATGAACTTCACTGTCAAATGCAAAATTTCTTCAGCCTCCCTACAAGGAGGACAAGAGATAAAAAACAAGCAAGAGCCTGTGTTCACAAACCCATCGGTAAGTATTCAGAGGTGGTGAAATCAGTTTCCCAACCTTCCCAGGAACACGATGACATCTCCTTTAACACCGGTTCTTTCTCCTGACACCATTCCTCAGTCCTCCCTCTCCCTGAGGTGTCCTTTGAGGAGAAAGAGAACTCCCTAAATCCCTTTCTCTCCCAGGATCTGAGATTGTGGCAGTAGAGCCGGATGACAACTGGGGTGTAACTGCCCAAGCCTGGACACACTTAGGGAACAGGTATGCCCCAAAATGTGACTGAATCTCAGCAACACGCAGAGTTGCCATGGCTACATTCCCCACATCCCAACTGGGACCCACCCAGGTACCCCACCTGGGACACTACATATCTCCCCTGAGACCCAGGTATCCCACCTGGGACACTACATATCTCCCCTGAGACCCAGGTATCCCACCTGGGACACTACATACCTCCCCTGAGACCCAGGTACCCCACCTGGGACCCCACCACGTCCTGCTTGTGATCCCAATGCTCCACCTAGGACCCCACGTACCTCACCTGGGACCTGCACACCCCACCTAGGACCCATGTACCTCACCTGGACCCCCACACCCCACCCAGGACCTCACACATCCCACCTGGGACCTGCA